CTGTCCGACATGTTACCCAAAGTAAGATAAGGGTTTGCATTAGTGTTCCTCCTATCATCCCAGACCATATTCCCTACACAAAATTGTTCGAAAACTATATCATTGTTTTGTCTTTGGTTTCTAAGTCATACTCAAAGATCAAATGTTTTCTTTAGATACTATAGTTTATTTTGTTTATATGTATCATTTGATTTTTTTTTTTTATCTCATTGATAAGTCGAAAGGATCTTAAACTGCATAATAAAATAACTCTTATTATATTAAAATAAAAAAAAATTAATTCACTTGGATTCAAATCAGCTTTACTAAAAAAATTTAGATTTCACTTGGACTCAAATGACCTTTGCTAAAAGATTTTATTGGATACACGATAGGCAAAGAACAATCTTAATTGATTTTATATTTACTCTCCAACATATCTATTTTGTACTCAATTATTTAATTTTTTTTAAAAAAGAAAATGATAGTAGAAAAATTTAAACTTATGACTACTTGGTCATTATTACGATTTTTATACTATATTAAGGAACCATTTCAATTCAATACTTTATGTTATTACGTGAGATTTTAGAAATCATTTTCTATTACTTTTTAAGAACAACTACTTGGCCAAAGCTTGTTTGTAAACGTTGTCAATGAGAAGCAAAAGAGAAAGATAGGTTTTACCTTTGCGCCAAGATCAAACGTAAAGCCTAGAAGACAACCAAATGGAATTCCAACCACATAATAACACCCAACATTCACATATGCCACAAATTCTTGCCACCCACACCCAACGGCCACCCCTTCATCACACAAAATTCAACATATAACAACAATATTTCATAATATATAAGTTAACATAACAAAGTTTACTAAAAAATTAAGTGAATTAATTATGTGGATATATATGTTGCATTATCTATTTATTGCCTTTGGCAAAAAAAATATATATTTCTTTCCCAAACTCTTTTATATACTTGCATATATTTTGCTGCGCTTCAGCCCTGTTTTTAAATGAAAACAGATTGTCTTTTTTTATTTTCTTTTTTTCTTTCAAAAGAAAGTAGACAACATATAGTAAGCATTCATGTAGCAATGAGTAGTCAAAACTACTTGCCATCAATCATTAAAAAAAAAAAAAAAAATTCAAACTACTTTCCATCAATCATAACAAACATAAATTCATGTATAGCAATGGTTAGCTAAACTACTTGTTCATCAATCATAAAAAAACATTCATGAATAGCAATGAGTAGCCAAATTACTTGCCATAAAAACACTATATCTCTGTTAATGTATAAAATTTAGAAAATTGAGATTAAATTCTATTCAAAAGATTTTGGATGTATAATGAAAGATTATTTTTAATTTTATATATTATTTATTTATTTGATATGCAATAAATTTTCTAACAATGACCAAAGCTAGTCAGTCAACTCGTAACTACTAGTCATATATATTTATGTGCTTGAAATCGGCAATAGAACGTGAGGGGGGAGAGAGAGAGAGAAAAGAAAGAAAAAAGTGAAACAAAGCATCGCCATCTCTGTTTGTCCCATCCTTGTTTGTCCAATTGGATCCGGACGCAGCTTGATAGCTAGATTACTTGTATGTTTCTTTGGTACATATTATGAAGTGTCTTTCCTTTGATGAATCTTTTCATATTTTTCTTCTAGGTAATTATGGCATATCTAACATCAATCATTGATGAGGTGAATCAGACAACTGGATAAACAAGACACAAACCATTAAATAGTTCATATATTATTCGAAAAATTAATTCAGGATGATAAAGATTTTCGAATAATTTGATTAGCTGACGCTAATCCTTAATTAATATGGATCACGTGAAACCATTTTTGATTAATATATAGTACTTGTTAAGGTTAGTAATGTTATGCATGTCCATTTCTTCGTCATGTGGGACAAATTACAAGTAGTTAACGCAAGAATCTGAGAATAAAAAATACAATTCCATTCACCTTATCCCTTGGAAAACATTTGTAAATATGTGATATATATTAATTAATTACAAGATTTTGTAATTTTCTTCTTGTCTAATGTTGATGATTGCTCCTTGTATTATTAAATGATACAGAAATAGCATGAGATGCTTTATGCATCCTAAAAGTTAACCTATAGTTGTTTCTTGGATGGACAACGGTATTAGGAAAAGAAATCTAAGATGTACTAAAATTTAAATTAAAGTGCTTACCAGATAAGACAGGTTGAACCCCATTAAGGATGAGGGTGACAGCCAATAAAGGGCAGAGTTCTGCGACTGCGTTGGCCACAGTTTCACCACCGGTGAAGGCATAGCTAATCACATGGCGTAGAGAAAGAACAACTCCAGCTTCTATGAGGGCGGTTGTAAGAGAAACCAAAGTCACCATAACAACTGTAAATGCAGCTGACTTGGGATTTCTTGCTCCCAATTCATTGCTAACTCTCACACTGTTCGATAGAATTCAAATATTTTTATTGATTTGCAGTTTGCAATTTAAAAGTAATCAGAGAGCTATTAATATCAGTTGCTAATAGCCAGTTCACTTGGTAAATGTACGCATTTTTTTTGTTCTTTTTATATTTTGATAATGAAATTGCATATGAATTTTGGAAACAGCAGCTAAGCTATTTATTATTTCAAGAGAAAAAAGGGAAATTAGAGAAATTAATGTACATATAATGATGATTATGGGAATTAGAGAGTTAAAACAAAAAGGACTAACCTTGCAGCTGCATTGAAACCGACTGATACCATGAACAACAACCCCATTATTCCCATACTGCACAAGACAATATATAAATCATCAATCTTTTTTTTTTCTTTCTTTTGGAGCAGATTCAAAGCCAAACATTGCAATCTTCACAAACGGATTTTTAGTCCTTATATCACTTCGATTGACATCTCATTGGCATTAATGGTTAACCGCATTACATTTCTTTTTAAAAAACTTGATCTCACCTCAAACAAACAAATTAATAATAGATGAATAATATATAAAATTGAGAATGAGTCATCTATAACAAATTCTAAGTTTTTTAAATGGAATTTCATCTTAAATATTTAATTTAATATGATATCAAAATTTAAAATAAATCTAACGGTTCAGTAAATATCTTAGAGTATAAGCCACTTGATAGTTTTTAAAGGATATGCTGAGAGAGAATCGTAGAAAACTTATCCAAAATCGAATAAATAAACAATACATAAGTGTTAGAGAATAATATAAATCATATCCCATCTAAAAACTTAAGTTTTTAGGTGAGATAGTCTTTTGACATAATATCGAGTCTTGATGACCAAACGGTCACGAGTTCGAACTCTACCACCCCTACTTTCTCTTCTAATTAATTAAGCACGAATCCTACCACCCTCACTTTTTCTTCTAATTAATTAAGCACAAGGTAGTGTGGGTCCGTGTAAATTTCAAACCTAAAAGGTTTTCACTTGAGGAAGTATGTTAGAAAATAATATAAATCATATCCTAAATGAATAATATATAAAGAGCGAAGAATAGTGTGAAAAAACTTATTCCATATAAAATAAATGAATAATAATAAATAATAAGAATAGGTCATCTATTATAAGGTTTAAAATAAGCTACAAGTGAGGTCGCAAGAGTTTAAGATGGATCATAAGTAAAGAGCGTTGAGAACTTATTTTATATTAAATAAATAAACTATAAATGAGTAATGTATAAAGAAAATAAACCACCCATCACAAGGTTCAAGGTGAGTTGCAAATGAGGATAAGATTTAGGATGGACATACAAGTGAGGTTACAAAGTATAAGATGAACTGCAAGTGAAAAAGTATGTTCAAAAATTTATTCGGTGTTAAATAAATAAATAATATATTAAATTGAGAATGAAACTCCAATTATAAGATTTAAATTGTCTTTTCGCTGAAATTTAATCTAAATATCTAACTTAACACTATCTGTCTCGAAGAGTTATTTAATCATCCATGTTTTTTTCTTTGCGATAAATGAACCTTCTTGCTTAGTTCAAGACTAAAATAAATAGAACTCATGATACTATAATATTGTTATGAAAAACATCAACAAGTCCACTTCCATGGTAATCGACTCTCATATTTGTAAACATGTGAATCTACCATTGTCTATTCCCGGTTAGGCCAAACTATGTATGTATGTATGTATATAAGGGATCACATCACGTTTGTATTTCAAGCATTATATTGCTTTTACTCGAAAAAAATAAAAGTCCTACATTAAACATATGTCAGACAAAATGTTCAAATGATAATGATTAATTTTGTCAAGATTAAGATGTCAAATTGAATATCACTTCCTTACCACACAGAAAGAGAGTCCAAGGCAAGCTCAGGATGCTTGAGAAGGCCAGCAATCAACACTAATATCTGAAAATACCAGGTCTCCAAGCAAAGCATTACAGCTGATGCAGAAGATAATTTCAGAAAGTCCCAAAGCCCAGAAAAAGCTTGGCAGGTAAAGCCAGTCCACGTCCTCTTGCACCGCCTACTCATCACTATAAACACAAATTGAGCAGCCACTATAATCCACCATGACAAGCTCAAAACAAGTGATGCTCCTATCAATCCCCACCTTAATTTGAACACTGCAACCCATGTTAACAATAGATGAAACACAAGTGTAGTTGCTGATATTATGGCACTTGGGGTCACTATATTTTGTGCTTGAAGGAATTTTTGTATAGGAAAATTCACAGCATAAGCAAAATTTGTGGTATGAGACCATAAACAAAGACAGCTGCTGCTGATGCTACTGCTGTTGGTTCCCCAAGTAAGATCAAAATTGGTTTTGAAAAAACATAGATTGCAGTGAGTGGTATCCCAGTTAGAGTTAGCACCACAGTTGCTCTTTGAAGATAGGTGCCTAACATTTCATATCGGTGAGCTCCATAAGATTGACCACATAGAGTTTCCACTGCACTTCCCATCCCTAACTACAAGATCAGGACACAAAACCAATAAAATAAGGGAAGTACAAAACCGTAAAGTTTCACAATCGATCAGCTTATTACCATGAGGCCATAGGCAAAGAGTTGGACACCACTATTGGCAAGAGAGGCAGCAGCAAGCTCAAGATTGCCAAGGTGGCCCGCGAAGATTCTGGTGGACAAGGACATGCAGTTGTTGATAAAGTAAGCCAAAACGGCAGGTCCAGCTAAGGGGAGGAGGAGTTTAAGTTCAATCCAGGATGCCAACCTGAGGCGCTTGACGTAGCCTAAGTTGGTGTCGTTTAGGACATTTTCAAGCCTGGAGTCCACTTCATGATGATGAGAACTAGGTTCAGGTTCTGGGAAGCAGCGTAAAAGGGGTTCTTGGACTTCACCTCGAGACTCCATATTGTTTGGTTACTTAGGTTGAACAAGAATGGAGAATATTGGTTTTACAAGGGGTTTATGAATATATATTCATGGTCAGAGACTTGAGGAATAAAATCTAGTATGTCAGGGAATTAACCTATAGAATTATATCATTAAAATTTTGGCTGAATATACGAGGAAACAATAAGTTGGGAATAATAAGTTTATGTTTCTTTAAGAAAATTAGGTAAGAACAAAATTTCCTTATAATTATCTCATAAATTTTAAATCCTTGGCCATACGTAGACCATTTTTTGATAAGAAAACAAAATAAATACACTGCTTATAAATACCTGATAAAAGAACCAACCTTTCTTTTTTTTTCGTTTTCTAAGTTGGGGTATTCCTAAGTGAATTTTCGTATACCATCACATGTTTCCTTACCAAATGATGAGGTTGTAAATTCTCCTACAAATGGAATGGTGGGATAAGCTTTTCTCTTGACTGATCGTGTGGCAATAGAGAATCATGTAGTTGTGATCTTGATGACAAAATTTGCAAAACAAAGTCCTCTTATTAGGCAATAAGGATGTGTTTCCTTTGTCTTTTTTTGTGTAGTTATCGTATCTTTACCTAAGTTTCCACCTTCCGACTTTCTTTCTTGCGTATTAAGTCCTTTTTTTTTTTTTTTTTTTTTAATAATCGTTGTTGGATCTGCCTTCAATGGAGATAGGACACCAAGCATTCTTCTTCTCGTAAGTATGATTTGGTGTTACCCATCTTCTAACAACCTGTAACCGGTGTGGCGATCTTTTCGAAAAATGTTTTCTTCTGGTGTTTCTGTGTCCTTTGCTTGTGGAGTAAATTTTTTATTTATTGCTTTGTCCCATCAATCTTCTTTCATGTGGACCTGGGGATAAGCAATGAGGGGACGGACGAATCCCGTTCGTGGGAGTCTCTCCTCATTCCAGGTTCTGTATTGTTGTCTTGGCAGTAGTAAGCATTCTGTTATCTTTGATGAATACGCATGAAAAACAACTAATTTTTCTTACATTCACAGGTAAATTATGGAGAGAAATCTCTCCTTCACTCTTCTTCAACTAAATTCCGAGATGATAAGTGAAAAACAGACATCTTGTCAGGGACACTGAAGTTTGCTTGTTTTCTTTTTCCACGTGTTTCATGTTTTTTTTTTTTCACATTAAAAATTTGCTAAATCATTTCCTATTACATTCCTTCCAAAAGTCAGTGGGAAATGGTAATGTACAGTTAGAGATGATACCAATTTTTGGTTCTCATTTTTCCTCTCTCACTCTATCATTATTCATAGACGTGTCAAATTTTGAGTCTACAAGTTTTCAATCCATTTTTTCATGTTTTTCCTTTCTTTTCTTTTATTATTATCACTTAGTGAAAGACGTGTCAAATTATGAATCTACATGTTATTTTGGATTTTTTTTTCCAAGATAAAAATATTTTCAATCAGCATGTGCATTAGTCAAAACTAATCCTTCTTCTCCTCTCACAACTTTAAAATTCATCATTCACATCCTCAAGTGCGTATCAAATAAGCATTTATTTATTTGTTTATCCTAAGACTCGTGAGTTTTGGGTTACATGCGCAATGAAAATAGTCTTTTCTCGTTATATAATAATTAAATAAACTAAAATTATTAACTAGAACTCGAATATGCTTTTTTTAAAAAAAAAAAACTATAGAATAAATAATCATTACACTATGTATGTCTAAGTATTATTTATGTGATTCAAACTCAAAAAGTTTGAGGAACAATTTTTTTAGCCTACTTAGCCTGCTCTTTTGAGTTGAAATTTTAAACTTTTTTATGGTATTTATAATTTTATAATAGATAAAAAGAATCTATTGTACTTTACTTAATTTGATCTTATACATTTTTTAATTTGACTCAAAAGTTGGAATAGCAATTTTTGTATCTTTTTACTAGAGCTTTTTTTTTTTGAGATAGAAAAAAAAATCAAAATTTGTAACTGAATTTTTATTCCTACAAATTCTTAACAAAATCTATATTCCATACCAACTTTTAAAAAAAAAAATCCATAAGGAATATTTTGGATAAAAAAACTAATTTTTGTCTTTTTTAAAAATTTTTAGAAAGAACGATCGAATATATCTTCATATTTTTTTGCTAGTTTTTTTTTAAAATTCATTTATTTAAATTTGGAAAAAAAGAACAAAGAGAAGAGATTAAGATGGAAAAAATAGAATGATGAGATTAAAAAAATATATAAATTGACACGTGATAAGGATAATCTATCCAGCTAGGTTACCCACACGACGAAGGTTAACTCATTGTCGGGATTATCCTCCACTTACCATGTTTATCTATACAGACTATCGCCCATGTAATATAGGAGTCCCTATAGAAGTTTGACTCCGTAATAGAGTCCTTGTATATGTTTGTACGTAGCGAGTTCTTGTAGAACACAATCCGATTCTTGTACAAATACAATAGGTCTATGGATAAATAAAGTTAAGCTTCACATATACATAATTCTTTCATGGTATCGAGCCTCAAAAAGGTCTAACGACCCAACAAAGATCATGGAGCCTAAGCCACTTGACAAGCCTCGAAAGATGATCTACAAGTGAGCGGGAGTGTTAAAACACAAATCTCACATTGAATAGTTAAACCAAAGATGATTAATATATAAAGTTGAGAAGGGGCCATCTACCATGTCGCTACCCGACGTCGGACGGGACTCCTCGAAAATATCTAAAATTAAATTGAATATTTACAAGTTTATTTACGAATTTGGAGTCGCCACCTAGTATTGAAGGAACTAGGAACCTAAAACGGACAACTCGGTTCGGAGATTCTATGGTAAGGAGTTGGTTACCTTTTGGAAAGATATCGATCACCCAAAAGCGCCCTTTTCGAAAAAAGGTACCACGTCCGGTTTAGCTCTAAGTTTATCTCCCAAAATATTTTATTTACGTCAAATTATTTTCCGATTCTTAATCTCCCATTTTTTTTAGACAAATTGAATTTTTTAGTTTTGAGCGTGGCATCGTATTGAAACGATCGTCGATCCCTTTCTCGGGCGACACGTCGATTCAAACATCGGATCCACTTTAAGTCTTAACACAACCGATGTGTCGAAGGACGACTAGATTAAACGGTGATTTTTTCTTGTGACGTCGCCCCTATCAAATAGGAGGCTTCGTCGAAAATTTTGAATTTGGTGACATCGGTCCCTATTGGATAGGAGACTTCGTCGAATTTATTTATTTTTTTTATGACGTCGGTCCCTACCATGTAGGAGACTTTGTCAAAATTTTTAGGTTTTTTTTTATGACGTCGGTCCCTATCAAATAGGAGACTTCGTCAAGATTTTTTTTTATTATAGCAACACGCATTAAAGAAAAGAAAATAATAATAAAAAATTAAAGTAACAAATCTAAATTAAATACCTAAAAAAATGACAAGAAATAAAAATAAACGAAGCTAAAAAAATAAAAAATAAATAAAAAAATAAAAATCATCCTATATAAATAGGTTAAAAAATAAATGAATAATAAAAAATCAATTTATGCCTAAAATATTAATCCACAACTTTTACCCTTTTTTTTTTTTTTTACCATCCCCATTTTCCCTTTTATATTTTTTCTCTTCCTTTTACTTATTTTTTTTCTAATTCTATTTTTTATTTCTTTATTACTTTTTTTTTTTTTTGGTTTTTGAAAAAGTAGGTCGTGGCTAGACTTCCCTTTTTTTTTTTTTTTTTTTGGGGAAAGGGTGTGGGTTGGGTTGAAATCAGCCTAGCCCCCTTTTTTTTTTTTTTTTGCATCGGGCTAGGTCAGGCTGAAATCGATCCGGCCCATGCGCGTTTTCTTTTCCCTTTTCGTCGGGCTTAAGCCCGAAACAAGTCCGGGTAAACAACTTAGACAAAAACGGATCAAACACCTAAAACAACTCTCCCTCTCTCATGTTCTTAGTTCGTTTGTCAATTTCTCTCTCTAGTTCTTCAAGCTTTTCGGAAATTAAAGACTCCTTTTAAAGCAACAAACTCAATCACACACACCACAATTCAAGATAAGAAATAAATATCAAGTAAACACTTGGAATTAAAACGAACCAAGAAATAAAAAAAAAGGGAATCGAATTCAAGGACTCACCTAGAAAACTTTCAAAGAACACCAAGACGAACCCAAAAAATTAAAAGAAAAAAAACCCGAAACGCGACACCAAGAGTGCTTGTTTCTCGTGAATTTATTGAAATCTTGCTCTCGATTTTCTTTCCTTTGTCCTAACGAACTAAAATCTTCCTCGAATTGAAGCCAAAGATGCCTCGAGCTGATTCGGGTTGAAGAACACAAACCCGAAATACGAACTTTCAACCCGGAACCCAAAAAGCCGACTACCGACCAAAATTGAAAATCAATCTTTTATTTTTTTTCTTGTTTGGATTTCCTATCTCTCAACCTGAATTCCTCCTCTAATCTCCCTTTTCGCTTTCGTGAAATTCAAACGTTTTATAGCATAAAATTTCCTAAAATTTCTCTAAGCATCGAATCTCAAATCCCAAATTTTTCGTCAAAATTTTTCTCTTTAATTCATGGTTAATTGTGAAATCAAAACAGAAAATTCTCATTGATTCATGTTAGTGTTGGTTTTGGCAACAAAATCCATGATTAATACACAATCAAAAACCAGAAATTCATGGAGGATTTGGACAGAGTCTCCCAAAGATTTTCGAAGAGAATCGCCTTGGAGCGAACGACGAGTCGTCTCCTCCACTTCGATCCTGTCATTCGCTCCAAACTTATAGTTTGGTCTTTGAGTTTCAATTTCAACAATTATGCCCCTCGCGAAATAATTTCAGTACAATCTCATCAATTAGGTATCCGAAGGTGCAATTTAAGGCCTAAACTTTTTAATTGACTCGACTACACCCCTAATTACTTCAATTGTATCCCTAAATGAATTTTTTTGTTTTTTTATCATTTTCTTTCTCTTTTTTTTCCTTTTTCCTTCTTTTTTTTTAATAAACTTCAAATTAAAAATAAATAATAAATAAAAATAAATAAATAAATAATAATAATAAATAAAACATAAAAAATAAAAAATAAGAAAAATTTGGGTTATTACATACCACAAGGCTTTAAGTCTTTTAGATGGAACCTAATCTCAACTATTTAACTTTATATGGTATCGAGCAACAATGCATAAGCACAAATCATCTTCTTTGTAATAACCCAAAATTTTCTTATTTTCTTATTTTTATTTATTTATTTATTGTATTTTATTTTATTTTTGTTTTTGTTTTTGTTTTTGTTTTTAATTTGAAGTTTATTAAGGAAAAAGAAAAAAAAAGAGAGAAAGAAAATGATGAGAAAAAAATGAAAAAAATTCATTTAGGGGTGCAATCGAAGTAATTAGGGGTGTAATCGAGTCAATTGAAAAGTTTAGGCCTTAAATTGCACCTCCGAGACCTAATTGTTGAGATTACACTGAAATTATTTTACAGAGAGGCGTAATTGCTGAAATTGAAACTCGAAGACCAAGCTCGGAAGTTTGGAGCGAACGACAGAGTCGAAATGGAGCAAACGACACGTCGTTCGCTCTAAGGCAAATTCTCTCCGAAAATCTTTGGGAGAATCGCCCGGATCCTCCATGAATTTCATGTTTTTTATTGGGTATTAATCATGGATTTTGTTGCCGAAACCAACACCGACGAGAATCAATGAGATTTTCCTATTTTAATTTCATAATTAATCATGAATTAAAGAGGAAAATTTTTGACGAAAAATTCGAGGATTTCGTTTCAATTTTAGGAAATTTGTTGGCTATAAAACGTTCGATTTTCACGAAAAGAGGGGATTTTTTTTTAAGCGAACAATTCGGGTAGAGAGAGTTCAAAGATCGAAAGCGAAAGAATCAATTTTAATTTTGGGTAGCTGAGTTTTTCTTCGGGTTTCGGGTTTTTCGGGTTTATGTTCATCGTGTTCATACACTTTGGTTTTTGGTTCTTCAATTCGGTTTCCTTTTTCTTTCTTTGTTTTGGTTTCTCGAAGTCAAATCTTCGCTATCCACAGCAGCTCTCGCTTCTCGGGTTTTCGATTCGGAATTGTGAATTCCTCGCTCGAATTGCTCGGGTTTTCCGGTTTGTGTTCTTGGAGTTGTTCATCCAATTCCCGTGTCGGCTCCTTGGTTCTAATTTCGATTATTGCTTTCCTTAGTCTTGTTAGTCACCTATTTAAGTTGTTTTATTTGAATTAAGTCTTAATGGAAGAAAGATTGCATGTTGTTTAATCGAGTCATTCAATCGGATAACATTGTAGTTTAGAAGATTTGAAGAATTAGAAAAAAATGAAGAACATGAAGAACGGGAGAGAGAAAGGTTGAAAACTGAAAAATCTTGGTTTTGATCCGAAAAATAAAAAAGAGGGGCGCGCGGGCTTGTTTTCGGGCTTCGAGGTCCGGCCCGACCCGCGAAAGAAAAAAAGAAAAGGGGTCAGGCTGAAATACCCTTTACCCAAAAAAAAGGAGTCCAGACCTAACCCGAGGCAAAAAAAAAAAAAAAAAAAGTGGTGGGTTAATATTTTAGGTATAGGATTTTTTTTTAATTACTTTTATTGTTCATTTATTTTTTAACCTATTTATATAGGATGATTTTTTTTTCTTTTATGATTTATTTTTTAGGCTCGTTTATTTTTATTCATTGTCGTTTTTTTATATTAATTTAGAATTGCTATTTCAATTTTTTATTGTCTTCTTTTCTTTGATATACATTTTTTTTAAAAAAAAAAATCTTGACGAAGTCTCCTATCCGATAGGGACCGACGTCATAAAAAAAAAAAACCTAAAAATTTCGACGAAGCCTCCTATTTGATAGAGGCCGACGTCATCAAAATCACTTTTAATTAAGACGTCCTCCGACACGCCGGTTGTGTCGAGACTTTTAGTGGATCCGATGTTTGAATCGACGTGTCACCCAACGAAGGGGACCAACGATCGTTTCAATATGATGCCACGCCCAAAACTAAAAATTCACTTAGTCTAAAATAAAATAGGAGATTAAAATTTAGAAAATAGCTTGACATGGATTTTAGGAGATAATTTAGAATTAAATCGTACATGGTACCTTTTTCGAAAAGGGCGCTTTTAGGTGATTAAATATCTTCCTAAAAGCGTAACCAACTCCTTACCTTAGGAATCTCCGAACCAGTGCTACTTTTAGGTTCCTAGTTCCTTAAATACTAGGTGGCGACTCCAAAACTCTGTAAATAATTTTGTATATAATTAACACCCGTCTACTTAATTTTTAATAATTTTTTCTTTTGAGGGGTCCCGTCCGACGTCGCGTAGCGACATTCTTTATCTTGGGTTTAAGGGGGTCCCAGTTTGATACATCACTATTTATGCATACAAAAAGGGAAGACACCGTCTCATCTATGTAGATGATATTATTGTCATCGAAAATAATTCAAGCCTTATTAAGCTATTAAAAATTCAATCCTTATTCAGCTATTAAAGAACATGCTGCAGTAAAAATTTGCAATCAAGGATCTCGGCAATCTGGCTTACTTTCTAGGCATCAAGGCCCATTGATGTAAGGGAGGATTGACCTTAACAAAGTCTAAATACATCAAGGATATTCTTCAAAAAGCTCAATCTCCACTCCTGCCAATGCCACTGACAAGTTGCTAAACTCAGGAACGCCTTTTGATGATCCAACTTTGTTCCGTAGTATTGTTAGAGGACTCCAATATCTTGCTCTAACATGACCATATATCTCATTTGCTGTAAACAAAGTTGCACAATTCATGCATGCTTCTACTACAGATCACTGGTCAGCTGTCAAAAGAACAATGCGGTATCTAGGCTCTACTCCTGATCATGGCTTGCACTTCAAACCAGCAACTACCTTAACTCTGTATGCCTATATAAATGCTGATTGGGGTGGTGATGTGGATGATAGGAAAAACACCACAGGATATGCCATTTATTTAGGTGGCAACCTTGTTTCTTGGTGTTCAAAGAAGCAGAGAATAGTTGTTCAATCTTCTATTGATGTTGAGTATCGTGCCTTGCCCACTACAGCCTCTAAAGTCACTTGGATTCAGTCTCTCTTGAAAGAAATTGGAGCTGCACTACCCGTGGCACCCATCATATGGTGTGACAACTTGTCCGCCACCTACCTTGCTGCCAACCTCATGTTCCATACTCAGTCAAAACACTTAGAGATTGACTTTCACTTTGTCAGAGATAAGGTGAAGAAGAAAGAGCTCACAGTGAGCTTCATTTTCACTAAGGATCAGATTGCAGATATTCTCACAAAACCCCTGTCCAAATGGCAATTTCTTGTATTACGGGACAAGCTAACTCTGCATTCCGCAGTTCAGCTTGAGAGAGGATGATAAGGATAATCTATCCAGCTAGGTTATCTACACAGCAAGGGTAACTCACTGTCAAGATTATCCTTCACGTACCATGTTTATCTATACAGCTACTGCCCATGTAATATAGGAGTCTCTATAGAAGTCTAACTCTGTAACAGAATTCTTATATATGTTTTCAGTAGTAGAGTTCTTGTAGAACACAATCTGATTCTTGTATAAATATAGTAGGTCTACACATAAATAAAGCTAAGCTTCACATATACATAATTCTTTCAACATGTGCCTCAATCTTGTGGCATTAATAGTACAATTTAATGTTATTACAAAAAATTAATAGAATGACGAATTTAAAATATAAAGAAAAAGTAAAGAAACAGACTTAAAAATAATAATAGAAGTGTACGAAGATGAAAGGGAAAAAAACCCGCAACTATTAACTCTTTGTTTGTCTTGATGTTTGCTGGTGTCGCCCAGAGTGCCAAAAATCAAATTGTGTTCCCCAAAAAGCAGTTGGTCACATCTACTGTGCAGAACTGCTAAAGTCAAGTACTAATTCAAAATAAATGGCTAGACAATCAAAGTAATTCAAAATAGAATTGTTCTCCGTATTACTATCTTAGAGCACGAGCTACTCGTGTTAATTAAGGCACAAGTTATGCATGATAGGAGAGATATTCATTCTTGATATAAAAAAATTGTATTTTGAAAATAGCTTAAATATTCTTATTTATGGAAAAAAAAAGCGCTATCATAATCAAACCATGATAAATAAGATAAGTGTGGGGTACACTTTTTTTTTTAATTATTTTTTCACTAAGAAACACTAATTGGAATTTAAAAAGAGTGTTTAAACATACAAATTAACCATCAACGTTTTGATCATAAAAAATAACAAAAAAATGATAATATTTATTTGAAAAATAATAATTTAGAATCTAAATAACTTAAATTGAGAGTAAGAATCTTAAATTATTATACCTCGAATAATTTAGAGATAATTTTTATCATTAACCTAAAATTTTGCATAACTTCAATTGTAATTGAGAGAAAAAAAAATCATAGTTGTAAAATTAATTGATGATCAAATAGGTTTTTTCTTGAGGAGAGGAAATTTCTTATATGGATTGAGTGGCAAAAATTTAGGGCTTTTCATCGATTAAACCACTTAATTACTTCCAACATTTGTTTGGCTTGGGAGTTTGTTGATGACCAAGTCAGTGTTGCACAATTGGCGAAAAACTGCATTTATGAGAGACAACAACATTTGTTAGCCAGGAATATTGTTCTTGAACCCGTTCTCGCACGTTTCAACATCAATAGTTGTTGCCCTCACCGAAGCACGCACATCATTAGTAGCATTGGCTAACAAAGCATGCAATGAGTCGTCAATGTTACAACTCTTTTTTTTTAATCTTAGTTTAATTTCATACAACATTAAAATTTTTTAAAAAAGAAAAATTTAAAAATTAGAATATTGCATAGTTTATCCTTTTTTCATGAGTTTTAGGTATTTTGATAAGTTTTTAGGATTTTAATTTTTTAGAATTATTTCTCATTTTTAATTTAAAAAATAAGAGAAAATAATTAAAAAGTTGAGAAGATAATTTGGGATCAAATTGAAAATAACATGAAAAGCAAGGACCAAGTGACATTCAAATAGAGATATAATTGAAAAGAAATAAAAATCAAGAAACTTGATTGAAAATTAATTAGTGTGAAATTAAAAAAAAACTAAAGAGAATAGGGATTAAACAATTTCAATTGAGGAGATAATTGGAGAAAAATAATGGAATATACATTGACATTGATAAAAACAAACTATGGAAGGACCAAGATTGATTTTATCCCAAACCCTAAAAAATCTCTATATAAACACTCTTTTATTTCATTTTTTGAAGGGCCTCCATCATTCATCTCCTACCCAAAAATCATAGCCTCCATTAGTTTCTACTCCACAAAAAACCCTAACCTCCTAAAAAAAAACCTAGTTAAAAAAAATATAGATAGCTACAACTATTCATCTACCCTTAAAAATATAGGAGCTGTCACTATTCATCTTCCCTCCCTACCAACAACCATTTTCTCCCAAAAAACAAAAGAAAGGCCAAACATCCCTTAAAGAGAACTAACCAACCCGTCAACACATTGGTCAAGCCAGCCAGACCTATTGAAACTTCTCCCTAAAATTGGTCATCCTCCAATTGATATCTTCCCATCCACCACCACCAATAGATAGCCTGCCATTTGATCCATCATTCTCGATTGGTTAGAGAAGGAAGAGACATCAGAGGAGGCTAGAATCGAGGATAGAAGGCCAGTTACCTAATTCATTTAAGGACCCAACCAATTCTCTCAATTTTGGCCAAACCAACAACTTGACCACCACATAAGTGTTCCCCATCCTCTTAAAAGGTGTTTTCCTCTAAAATTACAGCTTAAATGAAGTCACCGGAAAATGACGAATTGACATAAAACGTTATTCTTGACCCGTTGATACAATTCAAAAAAATCTCCTTAATCCGACCAAATCGGATCTCTTAACCACCATAAAAATGTTCCTCATGGCTCTCTAAGCAACTTAGTGTCCTTTTCATTTCTCACCATGGTTGGGATCATGGTTGGAGAAGAATCCCCAAAGCTCCAGTTTCAACTAACATCAATCTTTCTCCACTTGCTACCATGGTTGACACCGCTAGCATTAGAAGAGAAAGGAAATCTAAGCACACCCTTCTCGATAGTCCACACACCCATGCATCATCGCCAAGGGGTAGTTTTGTGATTTTGACATAGAAGGGCATTTTGGTGTGTTTTATATGTAGAGGCATTTTGGCTATTGTCTAGTGATCATTTGGTTTATTTTCTTACCTATTTTTTTAGATACTTTATGGTTGTTTTGTAATAATGTTAATTTTATTCGTGTTAAAAAATTTAAAAATATTTAGATTGTAAAATTTATTTTAATGTATAAAGTTGATTTGATTATGATGTCGGACCAATAAGTTTCCTATTTATTGGGGATGGGCGTTGGTTCGATACATTTGTCAAGTGTTAAAAATACTAAAAAAAATAATGGGTCAAGTCGATTCAAATTTTATTCGAGCATTTCACGTAAATAATTTTAGTTAATTATGTTGTTCTTCGACATGCCAATCATATCAAGATTTTAATTTGGATCCGATACTAAATTGATGAGACTCTTAAATTTTGGGACCCAACGTTAATTTAATACGATGCCACAAACTTTTTTTTTATAATGTTTTTAATTTCCACATATCTTTAAATAAAAAACCTTTAGTTTAATTAAGGAAAATAACAAAGAAAGAAAGAAAGAAAGAGTTTTAAGCAATTTTAACAAGTCTCATATCCAATAGGGACGAACGCTATTAATTCAAATCAATCACCACCTTAGTAATTAGATTGTTCTCCGACATATCGGTTATGTTGAGATTTAAACTCGGATTCGATAGTGGATTGACGAGACTCTCGATATCGAGGTTCGACGATCGATTCAATATGATGTCACAAAAAAAAAAAATCAATTGGCTTAGAAAATAAAAATTGAAATTTTGACTAGAGAAATAATTTTGTAAAAATAGAAATTTTTAGGTGATAAATTTTAGGATTAAACTATTCATGGTACATTTTCTAGAAAATGGTGCCTTTAGGTGATTGATATTTTTCCAAAGGTATAGCCAACTTCTTATCTTAGAATATCTAAACTCGTGTAAATTTTAGGTTTTCTAATTCTTTTAATACTATGCGATGATTTCAAAATATAGTTTAACTCACATTCCCGATAAATAAATAAAACAAATATTTTTTAATTTAGATTTTTTTAAAAAGTCTTTTAAATGTCGGGTAGCGATAATCAAGTTGCTGGGTGGCATCCAAGTATCGTTCGAAAAGTCTTGTAGGGCTTACTCATTGACAAGGTCCAAAGTTTTCCGTGATTGACATCTATAATGACAAGAGTATAAATATCCGTTAAAGAAATCTATAAGCAATGATAACATTGTATAGGAAATAAATTTACTATGCTAAAAGAAGAAAGAAAAATACCATATATGATGGTTGCAATAATTTTCTTAATGTAAGATCATATCATGGAGAATCATCTCAACATATACGATATGACAATAATTTTCAAACAATTACTAATGAGAATTTTCCGAATATGAACACGAAATGCATAATCATTGTAATGCTTTGCTTGGAGACATGGTATTTTCATATATTAGTGTTCATTGTTGGGCTTCTCAAGAATCCCGTGCTTGAAAGTGAACTAAATGGGATAAGACTTTTCCATAGTTTATTTTTATTATTATTATTATTGAGACCTTCTACCTTTTTCTTTTTTATTTTGATTGAAACCTTTTACTCTTCGAAATTTTTTACTTCGGACTCTTTATTATGATGTCACCAATAATGATTGACACGAGATATTATAAAGTAAGAAATCTTGAGGAATACAATTGACATGTTAATCACTAAATGATAGCATTAAACATAAGTCCGAAGTAAGAAATTTAAAAGAATAGAAGATCTTAATCAAGTAAAAAAAAGAATTTGAAATAACTAAATAAAATTCTAGAAGTACAGAGTCCAAATGTGTGGAGAAAACTCTTTCCATACGAGAAGTTGATAAAAAAAAAGGCTAAGGGATACACATCAATGTTCGGTCTTATGTACCTAACATTGCATTCAAAAGGGCTCCTTTTTCTCTTCCCATTTTTTCAAACGAATCATAACCTTCTCCACTCGAAATTAGAATATATATATATATATATAGAAGCTCATAAATGAGAATTGAATTATTCCTAACAGATCATGCCATGCACATGTTTGTTTGTCAAAGTTACTAGATTCATATCAACTAGTCAACTAAGAGATATTAAATTAATGGTTGGGGATTCGGCCTAGCAATTTGGATAAGTATAAGATACCTAAGCAATGCAGAGTTACCGATGATAGGGCGGGATATTAAGACTAGGAAGGATTTTTGGAGGAGGATTTTGTGAAGGTCTTTTAACATGGTATCGGATTTCAATTAACCAAACGGTCGCGAGTTCAAATTCTATCATCTTTACTTTCTCTTCTAATTAATCAAGCACAAGGTAATGTGGGTCCATGTAAGTTTCAAGCCCAAATGACTTTTACTTGAGGAAATGTATTAGAGGATAATATAAATTATATCCTGGGGCTTCACCTAACGACTTAATTTTTTGAATGAGATGATCATTTGATATGGTATAAGAGCCTCAAAGAAGCCTAAAAGCCCAAGTAAAGATCCTAAAGCCCAAGCCACTTGACAAACCCCAAAAGATGGGCTGCAAGTGAGGGGGAGTATTAAAACACATATCCCACATTGAATAGTTAAATTAATAATGAATAATATATAAAGTTGAAAAGGAGCCACCCACCATAAGGCTTAGTTTTTTTTGATAGAATTCAATCTCAACTATTTTACTTTATAGAATCCTAGGTGGGTTGAGGAGTTAATTTGATGGTGAAGACTAAACCAAAGGTTGAGATTCGAGCTTTTGAGTTCATTTGGTTTAAGCATTTATTGATTTTTATTTTTTTTTTCATTTTTCATATTATTTACACGTGGCAAACACATGTCCGTCATGTTATTGACTATTGGCATATGAGTTCAACTAACCGACCACGCGCATATAAAATGAATAAAACCGACAAAAAAGTTAACGGATAGACTTGATTAAAAAAAATTACTACTTGCAATATTCAAAGAACAAAGATTAAAAAAGAAACACTTGATTAAAAAAAATGATAATTTAATACATCAAAAATTTAATTCTCTTTTTATAATTTTATAATATATAAAAAAAATTATTATAATTTAATTATTTTGATTTTACAAATTTCTTAATTTGGCTAAAAAATCAACTGGTTATTCTCTATATTATTACCTCAAACCACGTGTTACTCCTCTTAAGGCACGAGTTATGTATGATAGGATAGGGATTCAATCTTGATATAGAAAAGTTGTTCTTTGAAAAGACCTTAAATATTAAAAACAAAAAGTACTCCTATCTATGATTAAGGAAAAAAATTAATTGTGGAAACAATTTCGTTTAAGTACGCAAAATAACAATCAATTTTTTGATCATAATAACGAATAAAGATAACATTTATTCAAAAAAATAATAGTGTGAGATATAAATAACTCAAATCGATAATAAAGATTTAAATTGTTGCAATCTCAATAGTTTGAAAATAATTTTTACAATTAAATTAATATTGTGCATAACTTCAATTGCAATTGAGAGAAAGAACACCATAGTTTTGCCAAACAATGTTTAAAACTAATTGATTATCAAATAGGCCTCTTCCTGAGGAGAAGGAAAATTCTTATATGGACTGGCTGACAAAAATTTTTAGGGCTTTTCATCAGCTGAACCACTTAATTACTCCCAGCATTTGTTTGGCTCGAGAGTTTGTTGATGACCAAGACCGTGTTGCACAATTGGCGAAAGACAGCATTTCTCGAAGACAGCAACATTTCTTGGCCAGGAATATTTGTCTTGAACCCATTGTCGCATGATTCAATATCAGTAATTGCTGCTTTCACCGAAGCACGCACATCATCTGTAGCATTGGCTAACAAAGCAGGCAATGAATCATCAAGTTGCTGGATGGCATCCAAGTATTGGTCTGAACAATCTTGTAGGGCTTGCTCGATGACAGGGTCCAAAGTTTTGCTAGTAAGCAATGTTGTCTTGATGTACGAGGATGTGTTTGCAGCATTTGATGATGCAAGGTTTAATGCAATTACGCCAAGTTGTTGTAAAGTGGCTTGTTTGCTGTCAGGGTTAGATTCAAGGCTTGCGACACAATTACCCATGTTATGGGTTTCTGAACAAACTTGTTGGATTAGGTTCGTGCTTTCTTGGGCAACAAATGGGTGGAAAAAGAAGGTGAGGCTGAGAGTTACAGAAAACAGGAAGAAACTTGTAACGGGCTTCATTTTCTCTGTAATTCTGCTTAAAGGGTTTGGCTGTTTGTGGTTTTAAATCAAGAAGAAGAGGTTAATTTTTCAAAAATAGTTTCTAGGACAACTAGGATTAGGTAAGTTTTTTTGTTATATTATCAGACAAAAGATTCAAACGAAGACCATAAATGGAAGAAACAAATGCGCTAAACCACTAAATAAAGCTATTCTTGAGGACTTGAATAGTTCTCATGCCAACTCAAAAGTCAAAACAGTGGAGGACATGATATTCTTGAGTAAATTATAAATCAGTCCCTCTCATTTTAAAAAATAAATAAATTAATTTCTCTTATTTCAAAAATTAATAATTTAGTTTTCATATTTTTTTAAATTTACATGTAATTTTTTTTTGCTCTTTTTTAATTTATTTTTATTTTTTTGTTTTAAAAAATAGAAAAAGAAAACAAAATATCAAAAAATTGAAGAGAAAAAATACATTTTGTGAAATAAAAATAATATTAAATGAAATATGATTAACACTAATCAAATGACTAAATAATAATTTTTAAAATGATAAAAAATAATTAATTCATTTTTTTGAAAGGAAAGGAACTAATTTCTAACTTATGTACTCTGACGTTCTTAGATCTAGACTTTAGGAAGAGGCAGGGCCAAATTGTATATATTTCTTTTTTTTTTTTTAGAAAGGGTCAATTCATATTATTTTTTTTAAAAAAAATACCAAAATGAAAGGTTTTGAGGAAAATTTCCGAATTTTAGGGGCAAGTGGAAGGACCAAAATGAATATAAATTTTTACTTCTAGGTAAAGTCAACTGTACAACTTTCTGAAAATTTTACCAAAACGAAAGGTATTTAGGAAAATTTTCAAAATTTGGTGACCTTGGTCCTTGACTCTTCCTCGTTCCTCGAACTTTTTTATTATTATTAAAACTAAATCTATTTATGATTGGGTGGACAAAAAAAAAAAAACTTTTCATACTTAGACTTTATATGGATTTTGCGTCAGCGTCAGACCCAAAATAATCTAGTTACTTTCTGGTCCCTCTATTTTATTTTCTGGTCCATCTAACACTGTCCCAAAACCTTTCTTTCCTAACCCAACCCTTTATCCCTGCCCTTCGTTGGCAAGAAGGAAGTTTTTTGTACGGCCAATAAGGATCTCTTTCGCAGCCAGAACACAAGATGGTAGGCTCTTAAAAGCAAGGTTAAGCTCGTTGAGACGGAAATTTGTTGCGGTTGCCATGTGATTGTGGGACCGGAAGCTGGAAGATCGAATGCATGCGGGACCCACACATTTGCGTGGAAAAAAAGAAAAAAACAAGAAAACAAAGACTGCTTCTATATTTTCAACGCAACAAATGCATGCATGCAACAAAATTGGGGCAGCCATTGTTGAAGAAAATTTTTAAAATATCTCTAAGAACAGTTAGAGAATGGAAAAGACTTGGTTTCTGAATCCTTCACTGACAGTGAGTTGGATTGCTCCCATAATGTTCCTCCATTGATTAAATAGTTTCAGCTGGACTCATGTTCAAAAATTTATCCATACCATAAATAAACTTAACTTAAGGATTGTGTATCGATAAAGTTGAAATCCTAATAACTCGAAATTTATTTCATAATTATGTGATGGAGGTTTAGAATTTGAAGATTTTTTTTTGTGATCATGCAAAATAGAGGAATTATCTCATTGTGCAGTATAAGACCTATGGGCTTTCCGATGAATAAAAAATATTTACGGGCAACCTGTCTTTTCCTGCCAGACCATTTTGTGGTGTTGATTTGGATGACATTGATAACAGTCAGTAGGGTGAAGATTCACATCAGCTTTCCTCAAAGCCCATTTCTCAAGCCCATGGTCTCTCTTTTGAGGATTTCATTGGATATCTTGCTCAACGGGAAGAACTCAGATGCCTTCTAAAATCCAAGAAATCTAAGAAATATAGACGAATAAGGAAAAAGTCTAATAAAATTAATTCATCAAAATCATCGGGAAAGCCTAATGGTTCAAGATAAAAATACTAAATTTTGTTAATAAATATTAAATTCTTTGAGAAAGTCTAAAACTTTAAGTTAATGTTCATTTAATTATCTACCATGTATTTTTGTGAGGAAAAGTCTTTCCTTCATAATAATAATAAAATAGAAATCATAAAAAAAAAAACGCATAAATTAGGAAAAAAATTAATGTAACCAATATAATATAATAGAAAAATTTTAGAATTATCCAAAAATTTTAAAGCTGTTAGGCGAGGCATCAAAATAATTTTATATGATTTTTTTAACACATTCTTTCAAATGAAAGCTCTTGCACAGACCAACACTATCGTTTGCTTAATTAATTAAAAGAGAAATGAGAGTGGTGGTATCTTATTAAAGAATTATCTCAATCTAAAAAATTAAGCTTTTAGGTGAGGTTCCAAAAATGATTTTATATGATTATTTAATAGTAGGGATGCTAAAACAATAGCTACATGTAATCGGATTTCCCAACTTAGAAACTGTTTTGTACGCCAAAATATTACTAGTTTTAACATAATTTAAGTAAAATTTAAATTTTGATAAATTTTATAAATTACATAATCAATCACATCATTAATAAAAATCTGGAATTTGTACATTAAATATTCCAGATAAATTTGAAATATTTTCGGATAAATTTGTACATGAACTAAATTTTTTATTACTTGTCTATATATTTATTATTATCTATTAAATGGTTGGTTTTTGTTTAATAATCTGGAATATTTTCGGATAAATTTGTACATTAACTAAATTTTTTTCTCAAATAATTTTAAAGTCACATTCCATATATTTATCTAGTGCATGCATACCAATGAATTTTGCTAGGTGCTAGTACAAGATTCGAATTCATAAAGTCAAACCGAGAAATATATCTCCTTAACTACAATATCAATTTATAAAATAGGTGTATATACTCACATACGTACATATATTGAAATATGGATATGCTTGCATTGGGCAAAAATATATGCATTATGTATTAAATATACCTCCTTTTCCCAGTTTGTCCGGAACGTAAACCATAATAATACAATAGTCTGCATAATTGCGTGCCTCCTAACATCCCAATCCATATTCCCTATCATAAATACACAAATATATATTATTGCTCACTTCCGCCTTCTTGTTTAAGAACCAAATTGAAAATTTACAAGATTCATCATATATGGACTATAAAAAACTAGATCATAAAAAAAAATCTCATATATATATATATATACGTTTGTGCCCATATTGCATGTAAAACCAAGAACGCAACCCAATGTGATACCAATTACGTAGTAACATGCAATGTTGACATAAGCAACAAATGCTTGCCATCCGCATCGAACAGCCACTCCTTCAAAAGGTATAGTCAAAGAAATAAAAAGTTAAAAGTTGGCTCACAGAAAGTGTTGTTTAACCGCTAGTCTCTTTGATCTTCGAAGAATGGTTGATTGATCAGTTTATATAGAAGGGATGGATGTGGCTCAAATTTGGCCTTATACCTTCAACTCAAAAGACAGCAGAGAGAGGGCCAGCAGACAAGTAGGTACAAGAACCTCTACAACAACCTTATTGTACCTACGTTAAACATGGGAAGTGCAAGGTGCATGTGTGAATTGTGAAACATTTTTACCAAGTATATTGTTAGGATAAGTACCACTTATCCATACTTATCCTAATCTTGTATCTAATAGTTAGCTAATACTTGTGTTATACTTAGCTAAAACTCTTGTTAATAGTTATCTTCTGTTAAAGTTATTAGTATAAATATAGCCACTGTGAGCTATTGGAAGATATATACAAAACAAGCCTTTGTAACCAAAAGCTCACGTGAACAGTAGCATGCATTTCTTTATATTCAACATGGTATCAGAGCTATAAATTCTCCTCTCTCTTTCACGTATTTTTTTTTCCTTTCTTTTTCAAACACGCAACTCCAGTAATTCTTCTTCTCCTCATTATCAGCTATGACTACCGATCCAGCAGCCACAAATCAGATGGTCTCTGCCCTTCCTATTTCTTCTCCTTCGTCCACTACCCATCATTCCTTTTCTGTTAAGCTCACCACCAGTAACTATCTAGCCTGGAAAGCTCAGTTTCTTCCTCTCTTGAACTACCAAAATCTCACAGGCTTCATTGATGGTACATAGCCAGCTCCTCCTCCAACACTCATATCCTCCACTGATCCACAGATCACCACTCCCAACCCAGCATATCTGACTTGGTTTCAAAAAGACCAGATGCTACTCTCCTGGATTCTCTCATCTTTAACCGAGACCATGTTCTCCTATGTCATCGGTCTCCATACTGCTTTTGAGGCATGGCAAGCTCTAGCTTTTGCTTTTGGTTCAGTTTCTCAGAACCGTCAGCTTGAACTCAATATTGAGTTACAAAAACTCAAGAAGAACAATCTCTTTGTCACAGAGTATTTACATAAGGCAAAATCCTTAGCTGATGAACTTGCCACTGCTGGACGAACTATGACCACTGCTGAATTTAATGCAATTATATATCGCAACATTGGTCCTGAATATCACAGTATTATTACTGCCCTTAACCTACGGCCAGATCCTGTTCCTTTCCATGAACTTCGTGGCCAGCTTGCTGCCCATGAATCCCTCTTGCAAAGCTCCTGTGCACCACCAATGGCACACCTTGCAATCCGTAACCAACCATTACTACCCACACCGTCTTACTCTCCAAGACCACCAAAATTGCCAATTCATGGCTTTCGTAGGCCACGCAGCCCTTGTCAGATTTGTCGCCTCCGTAATCACACTGCAGATAAATGTCATCGTCGTTATACACAACGCCCAACCTCATCTCCTCAGGCTCATATGGCTTATGTTCCTCAGACAATGATGACTTCTCCTTTCTCCGCTCCAGGTGGTTACAATGCCACACATTCTGCATATGGCCCAACATCTTCATCTGCTACACTTACTGTGTATTCCCAACCATGGCACCTTGACACAGGAGCTTCTCACCACATCACTCCAGATCT